TAACCAAAGACAAGAAGAGAGGCAGGAAGCTGGTCTCCAAGAGGACAATGATACAACTCAAAGGAAGTCTGTGGAGATACTAAACCAAGTTAGAGGAGTAGAAGAAGAAAAGCAGGCAGAGCAACAACTGGATGTAAAGGTAAAAGTCAGAGAGCAAAGAGAGGAATCTAAAGAGGGGGTAATGGTGGAGGATAATGGAAGAGGGGAGGAGAGTTTAGAGACTGACAGAAAAGCTTCTGTTGATGAAACCCAAAGGAAGGCTGAGGGGAAAGAAAACCAAAGAAGAAGAAGAAGAAGAAAAAGAAGAGAAGAAGCAGCCAGACAAGCAGCTGCACGCAGACGAAAAGCTCAGCGTAAAGCTAAAGGAATCACAAAGGAGATCAAAGTAGAGGGGACAGACGGAGAAGCTGACACATATGAAACCCAAAAGAAGCGCAAGAGGATAACATCAGAATCTAAAGGAGGAGAACAACAGCTGATGCTGCAACATTCAGACATGAATAAAGAAATGAGAGAGAGAGGAGTGGAGGGTCAGGAGGACCTGCAGCAGGAGGAGGACATGGAGACTTATCAACCTCAACCAAATGTTTATAAGGAGGACGTTATAAGGAGGAATTCAGAAGAAGGCAGAATGCAGATAGAGGCTAGTTCTGAAATGCTAACAGAGTCATGAAGAGCAAAATATGAAACTAACAAAAGAACATTGGCAGCAGGAGGAGGACATGGAGACTTATCAAACTCAACCAAATAGCATACGTGTTGAACCATTCAATACAACATTTCATTATGAATCAGCTGCAGAGGGACAGAGTAAGGAGGCTTTTGGTAGAGGACAGAAAGAGGTGCAGACCCAAAACATAAACACTGATCAGAAGATGGAGGAGACAACAACTGAGATAAACCAAAGAAAGAGAAAAAGCTTAAGAGAAAAGGAGGCTCTGGAGCAAGAGGACAGTAAAAGGAGAAAGGTATGAAACTGAAGTCAGATCGAGAGACGTTGGAGATATGCTTCAGTCAGAGACAAAGAAAGGAGACTCAGCAGTCATTCATTAATCAATGAACGACAAACACTGACAGAGCCAGGTATGATGAGCCCAATAACAAAGACCTGAGTGAGTGGTAAATATTAGCACTAGACAACAGTAGAGCAGAACTTGTTAGGTGTGGACTGGTCTCTCTCTCTCTGGTCTCCCTCCTCCCTCTGCCTGCTGCACATCTGATAGCAGTTTTCACTCAAGTATGAGGAGGAGTGGCAGAGTGCAGAGGGCTCTCTAACAGACACACACTCCCTCTGGGCAATAGACAGAGAGGTATCTTTTCCCCTCCATGTCCAGATTGCTGTTTTTGTTTTTATTTTAGTCGAACCTTCGATTCCTTTAGTTCAGTTCTGTTTTCCTTTTTTTAGGAGGTGGTGCTGAGAGCGACGGCCCATCACGTAGCTGGCTCTGCACTTTCCCATATTTTTTGTTTTATTGCCGGGTCTCCAGCCCCTTTTGTTTTGTTAGTTTTATTATTTATCTTTGATTATGTCTTGGGGGATTATTAACAGCCAAATAAAGCTTGGGTTTAAAACCTAATATCTGTTCTGGTCTCCTTTGTTTTCAGCCTTGATTTAATTATTTTGGGTAAGAAGGATGTAACAGGCCCCGTATGGAGGACTGTTGCCAGATTAGATTTGTCCTGTTAATAACAGGGAAATAATGAGACAAAGCAATGTAGTGTGTCTGCCGAGCACACTAAACTGTCTCACCTGGAGGTTACACCTCCTTGTGGCACAAATTGGAACCACACCGTAAATTACATTTTACACAAAATAACAGAACTAATGCTCCCAATTACACATTTACATATTGAAATATACACAATACACAAAAATAAATCACATAATGTGAACACACATTTCTGTGTGTCACAAGGACATGACAAAACTTCTTGGTGCGTATTGTAGAAAATGAACATCTCAGCCAGACACATATTCATTGTGACATTTGTTTCAACAGTTCTCCAGTTGACAACAACAAAACAAACCACCTGAAATGTTCGAATCAGCGAATAAACTAGCACTGATCTGCTGAGGTGACTCTGAAGCCGGGTACACACTAAAAGATAATCAGGCCGATTTTGGACCTCAAAGGCCTGATTATCTGATGGTTTCAAAGATCATCTTGCCAGATTCTCCTGTGGTGTAAGGTGTGTTATGAGTGATTTTAACCTCCCCGATCTTCACGGAAGACGATCGGGGCCGCCCCAATTTAAAATCATGTTATATATGATCAGTAGTCTTGTTGTGAGGAGAAAACACAGAGGACAGCCGAGCACAGACTCTGTGGATTGTCAAGTGTAACAGAACAACAGGCAATCAGGAAGCAAGCTGACTGAATCAGGAAGCACAACAAACATAACCATGGCAACGACACATCTAGTCACATCTAAAACAGGATTTAAGGTTGTGAATGAAGGAGAAAAAGAAGAAGTTGTCACTAAAACAACAGCAGAGAAGGCAGGGGACACTTACAAAGGAGCGGACAGGAATCATGGGTCATGGAAACATAAAGCAAACATCTAAGGGCTATAGAAGAAAGAGCTACACAAGCAGCTGAACGCAGAAAAATAACTACGAAACCAGGAGGAGTCACAGAGGAGGTAAAAGTAGAGGGTAGAGAAGGAGGGCTTGGCATGTCAAATCTGATGAAGGAGCTGACAATAAAACTTGAAAGAAGAAATTAAACATACAAACAGGATTCAAAAGAGGAGGGGAAGGCGATGCTGCATCATTCAGCCAATAATGAAGAGATCAGAGAGAAGAGGAGCTGAGTGTCAAGAGGAGCTGCAGGAAGAGGAGGAGTTATAGAATAATGAACCTCAACATGTCACATGGAGGATCAAACCACAACAAACACAAGAGAGCAATGAGGACCAGGAGAGAGGTAGAGATTATGAGAGCTATGAGTAAAGAAGAGAAGGGAGATGAGCTGAAACAGAAAACAGTCGACATTAGACGACTCAGCAGAGAAGAGGAACTGAATGATGGAGCGCTGAGCAGCTTATTTATCTTTTTCAACAAATCATTAGAAAAAGATTTTTTTTCAAATTTTCAAATCAATCACAAAGAAAACAGTGAGATGTGGAATTATTATTAGAGGTTTTTCATCTAAGTTTTATCAAAATGCCAACCTGTTCATCCACCAACATGGCAGACATTTTTAAAATTCAGTGACTGAGTGAGCTGAGGTTACACGTAACAGCGAGCATGAAATGTGGACCTCAAACTCACTTTACAACTTCTTTCATTCATCATTTATTGTCTGATGATGTCATTTCTGTGCATTTTGGTTACCATTAGTGTGTTGTATTACATGGACGCTCATAATTCACATTTTCAGATTCAGTTTTTTGCAATGTAATTCTGCACTGTTTACCTCTTATCAACTGTCACTGTGTCAAACTATTTGTTTATTGTTTATTAAATCTAGCTCACTACGATGTGGTTGGTCTGAAGACTTTGTGGGGCTTTTTGGTTAAGAATTTTTTGATACCTCTATTTTGATATCATTGTATTCAGAGTGGTCTAGTTATTTACATCCAAATGAATGCAGAAATAAACACAGAAGGACTCACAAAGTAGTACAATCCATCTTGTGGCGAAAATAGGTAATAACACCTACAGTACTTGAGACCACATTGTTAAACAACAAAAATATTTAGGGGATGTCTGTTTTAAACACTTAAGAACTTCCTGTTCTCAAACTATTATTCAAATGTTATGATTAGATTATTATAAAAAAAAAGTATAATGTATCTATTTTACCATTAGTTTGATGTTATATAACAAAATGTTTTCCAACAATCTCACACATTTTAGTTTAATCAGTAGTGTCTGCAAGGTTTCTATCTCGTCCTCTGCTGATCTCTCTCTCTCTCTCTCTCTCTCCCTCTCTCTCTCTCTCTCTCTCTCTTCTCCTGTTCATCATCTGCAGCTTTCTGTCTGGATAGAGAGAATAAAAGCATGTCAACATGATCTCTCAATAATTGGGCACTATTTAAGCAAAAGTCATTTTTTCTGTCTGGACATGAACCCTCAAACAGCTCTCATTCTGCAGCTGTAACACTGACAGAGTGCCTAAACATAGTCATACTCTCAGCTGCAGCAGGAAAGAGGAGGAGAGGGCATCGAGGCCTGCATCACATAACCCCCGACCTAATGACCTTTTTCACTCTACAGCCTATAAATGGGATTTATTGAAAATTATTTCTATTAAAAATTACTCAAAATGAGTTTTGATAAAGCATATTTTTTGAATTAAGAAGTGTAGTATAAACAACATGAGATCATATATGTATACAGTGATTTTATTTACAGTTAATTCACCTTTCCAGGATGAATAATTTGATATTTTTTTAACATCTTTTTTTCCAGTGTTGCAATCTGCAGACAGTCCCTGAGAGGGGTCAAGACCAGTGGTTCTCAACTTGTCTAGCCTCAGGACCCAACACCAACTCCTCCCTGAATAACCATGAACCAAATTCTATTTGTCAACCAATCAGATTTATTTAATGAAAATTTGAGACGTTTTTTAAGTTTGCAGCTTCAATCAAATGTTATAGCTCAGACGATGCAAAACACCTGATGGAAGATATAAACAAACATTTCTGAAAAAAAACGAAAGCTGAATCTGTCATTTTAACATATGTGCCCGGACCGGACAATGAGAAGGCAGCGGCAAGAATAACAGAGAGCTACAACACCACACTTACCCGCTCCTCAGACCAGCCCGTGTTTGTCCTCGGCGATGTCAACACTTGTGACCTTTCCAGTCACCTACCTAACCTGCAACAGTATGTGGATTGTCCTACTAGATCTACCCGTGTGTTGGATAAGTGCTACGGAAACTTGTCTGATGCTTACAAGGCTGTAAGCCGACCACCGCTGGGTAAGTCAGACCACAATGTGGTGCACCTGCTTCCCAAATATCGAGCTATGGTGAAGCAAGAGAAACCCATGAGTAAGGACATTAAACTGTGGACTGAGCAGAGCAAAGAGGAGCTGAGAGACTGTTTTGATGACACAGATTGGCAACTGTTTTTTGACTGTAGTGGAAATGTACATGAATTGACTGAAACCATAACTTCATATATAATATTTTGCGAAAACAATTGTGTCCAGAAAAAAACGGTTAGAATATTCCCAAACAATAGACCATGGTTATCTAAAGATATTAAAATTTGTCTTAATGAGAAAAAACATGCTTTTATTAACGGTGATACTGATGCAGTCAAAGAAAAAAGGAGGGAACTCAGATCCAAGATAAAGAAAGCAAAATTGGAATATAAAGACAGGGTAGAGAGCCAGTTTTGTCTGGGTAATGCTAAACAGGCATGGGAAGGCCTTAACTCTATGATGGGCAGAGAGTGTAAGAAACCGAAGAACACTCAAACAAACAATCCTTCCTTTGTGAATGATTTAAATGTTTTTTATAGCAGATATGATGTAGGAGATTTTAATACAGAATGTGAGATGGTTTGCAGCAAAATTCCAACATATGCCCCAATAGTTCTAACAGAGCATGAAATAGCAGTTAGCCTTGCAAACACAAAGCCAAATAAGGCCCCTGGACCTGATGGCCTGACTGGACGAGTACTTAAAGATTGTGCACCTCAGCTGACAGGTGTCATCACCAAATTGTTTCAGCTTCTGCTGGACAAACCAAGGGCAAACCTTTTAAATGATTTTAGACCAATAGCACTTACTTCTGTTTTATGCAAAAGTATGGAAAGGGTTGTATCCAAGCACCTAACATCAGCTGTGACCTGCCATCTTGATCCCCTCCAATTTGCATATAAAAGGTCAAGAGGAACTGATGATGCAACAGTAACCTTAATTGACAAAGTGACCAAACACTTGCAACAGACAACAAACTATGCTAGAGTGTTATTTATCGACTTCAGTTCTGCTTTTAACACATATCCTTTTAAAAAGGCTCTTGGATTTAGATGTGAATGGGGGTCTAATTTTGTGGATCAAAGATTTTCTGTCTGAGCGTCCACAAAGAGTGTGCTTAAATGGTAATGTGTCAGAACTGACCGTTTTAAATGCAGGAGCACCTCAAGGCACCATCTTGTCACCTCTATTGTTCTCTGTGTATACAAATGAGTTTAGACTCCAAGACTCAGATTTTAGCTTATTCAAATATGCTGATGATATGGCACTTGTTGGCCTCCTACGTGCAGGGGACACTAAAGGAGAGAATATGTATTTTAATCATGTAGCTTCACTCCAGAACTGGTGTCTATCGAGTGCTTTACAGATAAACATTAGTAAAACTAAAGAAATGGTTATATCCAGTAAAAACAATATTTCTGACTCCTGCCTCACAATCATGGGAGAAATTGTTGAAAAGGTAAACTGCTTTAAATATTTAGGAACTTACATCGATAGTCACCTCAAATTCATAGATAACACAGACTATGTCTTTACAACAGCTCTGCAGAGGCTACACCTACTTAGGAAGCCGAATGAGTTTGGGGTGAGTAAAAAGGTTCTTGAAATGGTGTACAAGAATCTGGTAGAAAGTATTTTGTCTTTTAACATGGTCGCATGGTACGGGCATTTAGATGTTAAATGTAAAAACAAACTGACAAGAGTGGTCAATACCGCTAGTAAAATCATAGGGAAACCACAGATGCCACTTTGTGACAGGCATGTACTGAACACTAAAAGGAAAGCCCAAGACATAACAAGTGACCCTTCTCATCCACTGCACTCCCAGTTCGAAGTGCTTCCATTAGGTCGGCGATTCAGACTGCCAAGAGCCACAAAAAATGTTTATAAAAAATCATTTGTACCAAATGCAATAAAATTATTAAATTCATAAAGGAGAAAATGACCCCCCCCCCAACTCTAACTGCACATTGTTTTATGAAATTACTGTTTTTAAACCTATAACTTTATGAAATGTATTAAAACTCTGGCTTATTATTATACTAAATTATTATTTTAAATTCACGAACCATGCTGACTGTGATGTTGTCAAGGACGACAGGCGCTCTCCTGGTTTCCTGCTGTGCTTGAATGTTGTGTTGTTTGTCATCTGTCTTATTCTTGTGAAGCCGAAGACAATTTTCCACTTTGTGGACAAATAAAGTTCTATTCTATTCTATTCTAATTCACATTTTCAGATTCAGTTTTTTGCAATGTAATTCTACACTGTTTACCTCTTATCAACTGTCACTGTATCAAACTATTTGTTTATTGTTTATTAAATCTAGCTTAGTACGATGTGGTTGGTCTGAAGACTTTGTGGGGATTTTTTTTTGATACCTCTATTTTGATATCATTGTATTAAGAGTGGTCTCCTTATTTACATCCAAATGAATGCAGAAATAAACACAGAAGGACTCACAAAGTAGTACACTCCATCTTGTGGCGAAAATAGGTAATAACACCTACAGTACTTGAGACCACATTGTTAAACAACAAAAATATTTAGGGGATGTCTGTTTTAAACACTTAAGAACTTCCTGTTCTCACACTATTAAAAATGTTTTTATGATAAATGAGATGAGATTATGATAAAAAAGTATAATGCATCTATTTTACCATTGGTTTGATGTTATATAACAAAATGTTTTCCAACAATCTCACACATTTCAGTTTAATCAGTAGTGTCTGTACGGTTTCTATCTCGTCCTCTGCTGATCCCTTTCTCTCTCTCTCTCTCTCTCTCTCTCTCTCTCTCTCTCTCTCTCTCTCTCTCTCTCTCTCTCTCTTCTCCTGTTCATCATCTGCAGCTTTCTGTCTGGATAGAGAGAAAAAAAGCATTCAACTCATTTATGATGTGCTAATTAAACAAAAACACCTACTAAGACAAACATACATACTCTACTTCTTTTGGAGAAGAGGCTTCAGGGTCTAACTTCTTACCCTTCTTACTTATTTTGCAAAAATTCAGAAGGGACTGAGTTATTTCTGTCTGGATATGAACCCTCAAACATCTCTCATTCTGCAGCTGTAACACTGACAGAGTGCCTAAACATAGTCATACTCTCAGCTGCAGCAGGAAAGAGGAGGAGAGAGCATCGAGGCCTGCATCACATAACCCCCGACCTAATGACCTTTTTCACTCTACAGCTTATAAATGGGATTTATTGAAAATTATTTCTATTAAAAATTACTCAAAATGAGTTTTGATAAAGCATATTTTTCTGAATTAAGAAGTGTAGTATAAACAACATGAGATCATATATGTATACAGTGGTTTTATTTACAGTTAATTCACCTTTCCAGGATGAAAAATTTGATATTTTTTTAACATCTTTTTTTCCGGTGTTGCAATTTGCAGACGGTCCCTGAGAGGGGTCAAGACCAGTGGTACTCAACTTGTCTAGCCTCAGGACCCAACACCAACTCCTCCCTGAATAACCATGAACCAAATTCTATTTGTCAACCAATCAGATTGATTTAATGAAAATTTGAGACGTTTTTTAAGTTTGCAGCTTCAATCAAATGTTATAGCTCAGACGATGCAAAACACCTGATGGAAGATATAAACAAACATTTCTGAAAAAAAACGAAAGCTGAATCTGTGAATATCTTTCTGACTTTACTGAAGTTCTGAAGCCTTTAATCTTTCATTGAACGGTATGAACGGTTACGTCCACTGAAGCTCATAAAGCCGATGAAACGTGAACACACCTTTTTATTACAGGTGATCTGAGGATCTGCTTATCTCTTTTTATCAGACTTTGACCCATCAGAGTCCTCGGTAGACTTCCACAACGAGCCAACAGGTATGAATATGTTTGAATTAATTTTGTTCATTTTGGGTTTATAACACGCTGAAAATCAATTTCTCTTTGTTTAAAGATTAAACACGCAGACTAGACTTTCTGTTTTCTTTGCGCAACAGATGCTCCCATGATGTGTTTACGGAATTAAGTTAAAATGCTTGTCGTCTATAGTCATATTGTTTATATTTAATGAGTCAATATATTTAAATCAAATACCTCCGAGTCCGATTATAACCCGCAGCTGGTTTTGATTTGAGTCTTTTACTCCGTCGGTAACCGGGACAAACTTTAACAGTGTGACGACAGAGAGGTGGTGAACTTCCTGCTGAGCCTTCTTTATTTAAAACGATCTTTATATAAAACATTTAAGTCTATCTAATGACAAACTGTCCGTTTATGTTTAAATATTGTTAAATTAACTTTATCGCTGATTTTTCTTTCCAAATCAAAGTGAAACTAAACTGTTTGTTTAAAACGTGCAGAGTGAAGGACACAGGAGGACTTGTTAATAATTATACAGAGAGGGTCATACAGACATTCATGCTCACACCTCCTGAGGATTTATCTCAAAGCTTAGCCAGGGACAGGGGTTTCAAATTAGACACAGCTAGAAACCTGGATGCATGGCATCTAGTTTGTGTTTAAAGAGGACATATCATCCCCCTTCTCCATCTTTTCAAACATTCCCCTGTGGTCTAAATAAAACATCTTTGCTGTTCTTTGGTCAAAATATAACATGAATCAAGCACCAGAGGAGGTTTGTGACCCTGTATAAACCAGCTCTCTCAGAACGCTCCGTTTTGGTGTGTGTGTCTCTTTAAATCAGTGGTTCTCAAACTATGGTAGTACACAGGACTCCCTGTGGTGGTACGCAAAGAAATCTCCACAATATAAAAAAAACACCCGTTCAGCATAAAACAACATTTTATTTTGATCATACTCTATTTTTATCTGTCTTGTATCTATTGGGTTGTATTTATATCAAATGTGTTTTCCCCTCTAAATTAATCTAGTTTATGCTCGAACGTACACAGACATAAACAACAACAGGAGTACACCTCACATTTAGAAAAGTTCCACTCGATATTCTGTTATAGTTTAGTACTGAAACATCAGCAAGCAGCTGTAGGCCTACATTAACAGATATTCTGTTATTTATTGGAGTTCAGTCCTGAAACAACAGAAAGCAGCTGTACATTAACATTTTTAAAACGGAGCCAGGAGAAACTTCAGTTTTGATGCATGTACGGACAGTGGAACTTATCGCTCCCCCTCCCTCTCTCTCTCTCTCTCTCTCTCTCTTACTCTGAAGCTGATGTGTTTCTGCTCCCTTGTGCTGTCTTAACACATTTTTTTGGGGCAATTTAGCCATGTTGAACACGGAGCCTTATAATACAGCGGCTCTGGTTGCATGGGTGGAGATACGAGAGGAGGGGAGGGGATTTCTTTTTTACCAGAATCCCACTGTGACATCACAAGGAGAGCATATTTGAAACAGCATTTTTCTCTGTGTTGTAAGACTTATGCAGACCACAAACAAAGGACTGGATGGGTTTATTTCACATTTTGTGGACACTCAGCAGTGGTTCCTCTAGGTTTACAGTGTTGGGGGGGTGGGGACACGACAACACGACGACACAAACACTTGAAGGAATCTTGGTGTTCATGTGTTACTTTCAATGACAGCTGTCCTTTTCTATCGAAAAGGTATCCTTGAATGACTTCTTTCTCTGATTTCCGACTCTATCCACTATCCTATCACTACAATAAAGACACAAAAAGCCCAAAAATGAATCTTTAAAAAAAAAAAAACCCTAATATAATGGTCAGCGAAACACTGCTCAGGTTATTCAAATAAATGTCCACAAATACTGTCAAAGTTGATTTTTCACAATAAGTCCTCTTTAATATATGAAGCAATGGTCACTGCATGTGTTCTTGTTAGTAACTAAAAAGAAGAAATAGCACAAAGACCTTCAGTGAGTGCAGTGAATGTTTACCGCGGCTTTTTTGCTTCTCTGAGCTGTTCTGCAGCTAAACTTTGATAAAATATGATTATTAAAGCAGAAATGTGTCCGTTGATGATATTTAACTGAATGTACGCTCAGTGTCCAGTTTATTTGTTCCTCTAATATGAATTATAAACAACTTCTTACAAACTGAGCAGTTAAAAATACTCACTAGTAACTAATTAAGGGTTATTGATTCGGGTTAGTGCAAGTGGAATTTATTTCTAAAGCTGGTTTGAACAAAGTGCAACAAGACTAATTCAAATGTTCTTGTTTATGATTTGAAAAGAAAATTTAGAAATTCACCGAGGTAAGTTTTGCACACGAGGTCGTATCACATCACAGATTTTCAGAACGATGATTAAAACACATGTGGAGTCTCAGAGACCCAGAAACAGATTTCTGTTCTGACAACCCAAACAAGTCAACCCTTCAAAATCATGTTTATAAACCATTCTAATAAATTAACTTGAGGGCTTTGAGGTCACCATCACCCCATACTGACGTTCATTTATTTACCTACAGTTTGATTAACTGTGGTCTCCGACCTGCAAGAGGCTTTTTAAGTGCTCCTCAGTATCGTCTTTTTTAATGTTTTATCATGCTGTATTTTACTTTTCAGAGCTCCAGGATGATTCACGTTTCCAACAGACGGTCCCTTCACTATCAGCATGGTGCCTTCACTGACCTGGTGTTCTACACTGTTGTCTTCCTCGCCCTGATGAACTCATGTAGAGGTAAGTTGCAAACATTACAAACAGTGTGGTTCATGTTGACATGAAGAGTTAGTTAAATTACTGAAGTTTAAGTTTGTGCTTCTAATGACACCATATGGCTCACATTTGCTGAGCTGTAGGAATAAAAAATGAATCCCTGTTTGTTTGCAGCTCAGTCTGAGGTGATCGTTCCATCTCAGCCAGTAGTTTCATTGGTGGGTGAAGACGTTATTCTGCCATGTCACCTGGACCCTGTCATGAATGCTTTTGACATCACTGTGGAGTGGGCGAGACCTGACCTGAACCCCAGATTTGTCCTCTTGTGGCGTCAAGGCGAAGAACTGAAGACTATAAAACATCCGTCCTTCAGTGGAAGAACATCAGTGTTCATCGATGAGCTGGAGAAGGGAAACGTCTCACTGAAACTCTCCAAAGTTAAAGTCTCTGATGAGGGAGGATACAAATGCTGCTTGTTGTAGGTAAGAGGACATGTTTTTATGATTATTTAATAAATGTTCATGCAGTGGTCGTGGATTTGCTGCTGATGAGAGAGGAATATGTTAGAAAGGATATGTGCATTCAAATCTTTCATTGGTGCTTTCAAAGTGTTTATCTGTCCAGACGATAACGACACACGATGTGATAATTTGCACACAGAAACAACATGACAACATGTTCACAATACTATCAGTGTGATTGACTAAATTACTCAAAAAGCTTGTAGTGACCAATTTTAACAAACCCAATATTGTTTGGAAAAGTTACTTGAGGGATGAATGTGGAAGCTTTCGGACGCGTGCTTAGCTCGAAGAAATCAACACAGTCCATTGATGTTGTGATTTGGATTTTTCAATCCATTTATTTTTAAATACTTCTTATCAATAAAGGAAAATATGACGAACCACTGTCTATACATAAAACAAACAAATCTGCGTTGGATGCGTTTAACGACAGACTAGTAGAAAAACTGTTTGCCTCCATTCAGTCACCTGTCCCACCTCACCTGGAGCGTTGCTTTAACCACAGCATCCGCCCAGGCTACACATAGTGCCCAGTAGAGGGCCAACACACACACCACAAGGAAAATAGCATCACACAAAACAAACACATCATTTGGCTCCAACAAAGCTTAAACAGCTTAAATTGTTACTGTTGATGCACGTAGCAGCCATGTTGGATTTAACTCGAGCTACTGAAGGTTCTCCGAGTTTCCAGGTCAGAATTCTGACTTCAGAGGGGCGTTCCTGATGACGTATCAGACTTCAACTCCACATTTCCGATGTAAAACCTCTCCTCTACAGGTTCTGTCTCCTCACCTGTTGTTCAGATGACCAAAAACAACACTGGAGTGTTGTTAGAGTGTGAGTCTGCAGACTGGTATCCAGAGCCAGAGATGTTTTGGCTGGACGGCGAGGGAAACCTCCTCTCTGCTGAACCCACTGAGACAGTCAGAGGTCCTGATGGTCTCTACACTGTCAGCAGCAGAGTGACTGTGGAGAAGAGACATGGGAGGAAGTTCACCTGTAGAGTCACACAGAGGAAGATCAACCAGACCAGAGAGAAGCACCTCACTATTCCAGGTAAATATAAGGCATTAATTATTTGATGTAATTATCAAGATAAACAGTAAATAAAAATATTTTCTTCTATTTCAGATCATTCTCTTTCCCAGTCCTCCTGGTCAGCATGTTGTTATCGGCGCTGTGATTGGCTGTGCTGCTTTGCTGTTCATTCCTGATCATCTTTGTTGTGTGGAGACGGAGACAAAAGAAATTCAGTAAGTGACAAACTGTCAGTCTTCTGATTGTAAGACTCTTAAAGGTTTTATGAAGTCATGCAGACGTTTGATGATGTATTGAGGAGACTAGAGTTCAAGAAGTGATTAGCATTTAGTTTTAGTTTCATTTGCATACATCCATTTATGATGAGGTCAGCTTTTATTCACAAACTTCACCAGTTGTTCCATCTTTTGTGTCTTCACAGAAAACAAGAAGACGAGACGTGAGGATGGAAGTGAACACTCTGAGGAAGAAAAGCTAGTCACATCTAAAAGTGATAAAACAGGATTTCAGGTTGTGAATGAAAAAGAAGAAAACCTTCCACTCATTTCAGTTAAAGACGAGAACAATCCTGACAAAACAGGAGAAAAGAGTGAGACTGAAGATGAGGGACAAAGACAAGAAACAAATGACGGAGATAAGAGTGAACAGGAGACAGTGAAACCAGTTAGAGACGATTCAGGACATTCAATGGTACAAATAAAACACATCAACACTGATCAGAAGATGGAGAGGGAAGAGACACAGCAAGAGGCAGTGA